TATAACACTGTAGTGATTTTGATGTAAAAGCTAATTTCGAAATAAATTAACAAATACCAAAGGGTTTAGGAAGCAAATCAATCAATAAACACAAACACCACTAGGCGCCCCAGCATGCGCTGAAGCGTGCATCCGATTTTGTACCTTGCAGAAACACCACACAGTGTATATCCGTCGCCTCCACAGAGATAAAGTGCAGCAGCGTGATGCCGTACTTGTCACAATCCAAAACGCCTCTCAGACTATCGCGTGTGTTGGGGGGGTCTCTGTAGGCCACACTGGCGCATCCGACCATCTTATGGGCTGTGTACAGTGAGAAGGTACCCTGCGCCCGGAGGGGACGGCAATGAGGATGTGACGGGTGGATACGAATAGGTTGAGAGTAGGTTGAAAGTAGGTAAGGGGAGTTTAGTACAAGTTTGGACAATAGAGGCGGAGCCAAATGGCGGTACATAGACACGACACCTCACAAAATCGAATCTTTGATTTGGCAGGATCATCTATATTCGGATACCAGCAACCTGCACGGGTGTTAAACAACACATCAAGAACCTCACTAGGTCAGGCGTGGTACTAGCCGTATGGCGAAACCGAATCTCACAAATAGAATGATACAAAAGTACACACTATACAACTCATCAGTGCACCGTGCAGATGTTGAGCACACACATACTCTCACGTGTGTGTGGTTAGTCATCACAGACGACTCCGCCTCGTCCTGTAGCGAGTGGCGGCCCGGCGGCAGATAGCACCACGTTGTCTGCCGAAAGGATACAAGGTTGGTTAATGAGAATATAATATAAATGTAGGTTTAATGAGAATATAATATATATGTATATGTAATGAGAATATAACATAAATGTAGGTGTACTGAGAATACAATATAAATGTAGGTGTAATGTGAATACAACATAAAGGTAGGTGCAATAAGAATACAACATAAATGTAGGTGAAATGAGAATATTACATAATGTAGGTGTAATGAGAATATAATACGAATGTAGGTGTAATGAGAATATGATACGAATGTAGGTGTAATGAGAATACAATGTATATGTAGATGTAATGAGAATATAAAATAAACTTAGATGAACTGAGAATATATTATAAATACAGGTGCAATGAGTGACCACTGGATGCGTACAACACATATCTTATACCACTTATGGTCTTTTGATATAATGTTCGTCGACTATTATACACCGGGATAAAACGCTTGACCTCAATCAGCAGCACAGTGTATTAAGCGAACAAGTGATGACCACCGCAGACACCTACCGCCAAGACCATACAGACCACGAAGATGTTGAACGCAAACGTTTCGATGAAAAGCGTTTGAAAGCCCGTGTACGCGCCATAGGTTGAAACAGACGACCGATCTGAATGAAACACAATAAACCGTTTTGGACAAAACTAAACTACTGCGGCAGGAACTGCCTCCGTAGCCACTGGAATGAGAGTGCGACTATTCAGAAGTCGATGTGATGCAGAGATGTGGGGAGTGAGTAGCAGATTGTATGTGTCGAGAAGACGTGTAGGATAGGAAGCTACGGTGTTGATTTCGAAGGTTTGTGAGGAAGACATGATATATAGACGTACGCTGCAAGTGAAAGATCGCCATCACATAGTCTTCTATTGCATGTGCGCACAGCAACAGCAGAGCCCACGGACAGACACTCTAACCAACGCGTTTCATAAATGAGTGACTGATCGATTAAGTACCACAAGCACGACACCGCCACAGACACATCAGATATTGGTCATGAATGCGGCTATGACCCGATACAAATGAGTTCACCACTTAACCCAGTACACGTAGCTTGGATATTATAAGCAGGTACGAAGCTTACATACTACTAGCCTTACTTTGGTGATAGGACAGCAACAGAACACAAGGTTTATGGAACATACTTGGAAACGCCACAAACACGGCAATGCTCTCGGATAAAAATAGAATCAGAGACATCACTTGCAGCCATGCCATGAAACGGAATCCGAGCTGAGGATAGTATAAATGAATAAAGACCATATTAAAGTTAGTTTGATAACTAACGTATGTAGAAATTAGTCGTGGCTGAAAAGACAGTTAGAGATAGAATGAATATAACAAAACCAGATACAACAACACTTTCGCCATCAGAGATGCGAAGAAAACGTATCATGCGACTTCTCAATATATCAGTATATAACCCGCTGTGCATGCCCCACACAGAGAAGAAAGAAAACTGATCAAAGGTCCTAGTTTTATTAATAAGTTGAAAATATATATATATGTACATATACATATACATATACATATACATATACATATATTTAAATATATACATATATATACATATATATATATATATATATATATATATGTATGTATGTATGCATATATATATGTATATAAATATATATATATATAAATATATATAAATATATATATATATATATATAAAATATATATACATGT